ATTTCGTTCAAAAAGGCGTTTATTTGAAGGCGTTTATTTTTAATGCATAATTTAAGCGGTCAGAACATAAAGAATTTCCCCGCTATTCAGGAACGCTTTCGATGGTAAGATGAATAATTAGATGAATAATTAGGCGAAGGGTGAAATAGCGCCGTAAAGTAATCCTGAACCTTGCCGAGCCCGTTTAAGTGTAACGAGTTTAAAACTCGGTGTGTAACTATTTGCATTCTCTTATTATAATCTATCTGATGCATATTACTCGTTTATACGCAGATTTCGTTTAGTATCGATATTTCATTGATAATCTCTAGCGATCCTTTTTATAACTTTAATTTAAAAGTCTTCATTAAAGGATATTAGATAAGAGAGAAAGAAAAAATCGCATATATTTAACCTTTTATTTTATAAGACAAATTTGTAATATATCAGAATCATTCTGTTATATAATTATGTGCATCTCATATATAAAAATTTACTTTTATTTTTATTTTTTTTAACGTCATAGTACATAATTTTATTTCTATCGTTTTAATACCAATTTTTAATATGTACACAGTACGTTTTATCGGAATTTATTTCGAAATTAATAAGAAATCCGCAATTGCATATTACACAAAGAGTTCATGATAAATAAAATTTTGAATTAAATTGCGAGATTATTTAATTACAAAACATTATTTTTAAAGAAACATTATTTTTATGAGGTTTCTAAAAAATAATATTTATTGTAAAATATATTTTAATAAATAATTTAATAATTTTTATATATATGAATAAATACATTGAATGGAAGAATGCATATCTGTTTTAATAAAAAATATAAAATTCATACAGAAATATAAATTGCAATTTCAAAAACTTGACTAAATGCGCGTTGTGAAACATCGTCTTTTACATTTTCAAAAATAAATATTTATTATTAATCGCGTTCTCGCAATTTTGAATCGCAGAGCTGAATCTAATGCAATCAACTTTTCAAAAAAAGTGAGTAATTTCAATTAATTAATCTTAGATTGGTCAAAAATAAAAAAAAATAGTTCGACAGTAATCTATCTATCTGGACATTTTAGCATATATCATTATAGAAACAGCCACGTATTCTTCTTGTTCAATTTACGTGTGAAATTTTAACTATGAAATCCGTGAAGCAATCGAGAAACTTTATTTCTCTTGAGATTAAAATAAAATCAAAACATCGAAGTTCCTAGAAAATATGCGAAGCTTACGCGATTCTCGTATTTCACGTGAGCGAGAACGGTTCATGCGTTCGTGACCACTCGCGGGCAAGTGCAATGATGTGCATCTCTTAATTCACGTAATTCACGCCCTCTCCAGGCCTGTAACATCAAGGAGTAAGATCGCCGTTATTCGCATATTCCGCGCGAGTACTTCGCACCTACCTCACCGACCATGCTCGCCAATCTCCTCGTGATGCACAGCCGAGCATCGCGAATCTTCCCTTGAATACAGATTACTCGAACACTGAATTTTCCTCATCAAAACTCTGAACAGACAAGGCGTCTCGTCTCGTCTCGTCTCGTCCCGTCGCTGCTAAATATCTCGAGCGAACTTCTGTCGGTACTTGTTAATATGTAACATCTGCAACGTCAGTCGTATTACAAGCCGTAAAGATTACAAAACTTCGCCCAAGAGATTTTACGGAGCATCTTTTCGCTTTGGACCGGATTCGCTCGGAGTTTCATCCTCATGTTTAGTTGTCGAATCAAACGGCACGCTTTCCCGGCGGTTCGAAATCTACCCGCAGAGGGAAGATATCCAGTTTACCCCGCATGGCATTCGCCACTCGGGGGTGGTTCCACTCGACGGGAACTATCAGCCAGTGCCGGTATTAAACTTTCGAATTTATAGCGCGCGTCCTGGTTATATCGATCGAACGCAAGGGGCAATCCCCGTCGCCCACATCTTCATCGGAAGAGAATATTTCGCTAGAATATTATTAGCAAGAGCTTCATCGAGTTGTTAACCGCTCGTGTATCGTTGCACTGCCGAGCATACACTGCCGAGCTGAATTTACAACGCGCCGACTGCACTTCGAGCGATTTATATTTCGCCCGAACGATGGCGATATCTACACGTCGGGGCCACCTTGAATTATGACGGAGTCAAAACAAGAGAGAACGTTCGTAGCTGTTTGTTCATGGATACGATTTTTGATAAACGACACCGGAGAATGAAGTTCAATAGACCAGTAAAGTTGTTACTTTTTTCACATGTATTGTTTTATGATATTTTTATATCTGAACGCGCGTTTTTCATCAATTTACGTCACCATATGATAAAGCTAGTTAATCAAATTTTTCATAAAAATTGACAAACTTTTAATATATATTTTCTCACATTTATGACATGATAACCGATCGTTAGTTTCTAAATGCATCTGTTAAAACTAAAGTGATTAAACTTACGTAATTAATGTGAACAGAAAGCCACAAGAATTAAATTCAGATATATATTATATAACAAGCTTCATCCACTAGTAATTTACTAGTAACAGACTTTTTTCCATCCAAGCGAAAATAAGTAACAAAAGCCAAAGGGTAATTAACGAATACAAGGAAAAATGGCGCTATAGTGCGAGATAATATCAAATAATTACCTACCATAAGAGCTTGTTTTATTTTTTTATTCTCGGCAACATTAAGCCAATAGTAGCTACACGATCATTACACGCGCAAGAAGGTATCATGATGATTTCTTTATGTGATACGAAATTTTTTTTCTCCTTTTTAAACGGGATCGCGAGAAGCCAGAGTAAATTTCCATTACGGTCCATGGCAAACTCAGAGAGAAACACATTTCCCTAGAAAACAAAGAGCGTAGAGCAACGTCGTTTCACGTAATCACGCAAAATTTTTTGCGAAACATTTTCCTGACCGCACATCATGTATAACTTGCGAGTTGAATATGCCGCGTGTCGATTTTGCAGCCGCCGTCCCTTTATGCGATTTATATCCAACTCCTTAATTACACCAGTGCCGCAGGATTGCCAGACCGAGGCAGTGCGGATTAATTGGATTATCGACCGTCGTTGGATATAATAATATTTTCGCTCGGAAACAAAGATTGATGTTTCTCATAAGAAGGACCCTCTTGAGACACACCGGCGCATCGGTGTTAAAGTGGAAAAGAGCCGCGATTAAAATATCTAATGTAATTTTATCTGCAGATTTTATTTCAGTTTCCAACGGTGAGAAAGAAGCAAATAATCGCAAGCTCGCAAGCTTCAAAAAAAAAGAGAGAGTAGAAAAAGAGGCAGGAGGAAGAAAACGAAAGAATGCGCGCGAGGCGGAAATAGAAGAGAGTACATTCACAAATCCTTGAATCTTTAGAAAAACGAAGAAAGAATTAAATCTCTTTGAATAAACTTCCATAAAATAGTATTAAAATAAATAAATTTAAAAATTTATCTTATATTTCATTTAAAACATTGGTTCTGTATAAATATAATAATTCTGAAACATAAGCAATTGGCAGACATATTATTGCTGATACGTAAAATATATGCCTGCGTTTGCTGCACGAGTCCGTCATGAAATTTTATATTAAATGATATTTGCATATTCCAGATTTTATTATAAAGTTTAAAGATACATGCATGAAATCATACATGAGAGAGTTGGTCGACAAGGAAATTTCAGTGAGCCGCTAAAAAAATCCTACTATGATAAAAACCAAATAAACAACTGCGAAAATAGAATCGTTGTAATCTTCGTTACAAATAAAATTGAAAAAACGATAGAAATAAAGCAATAATAAAAACGGCAATATCTGAATGTATTATACATACACGCGTGCGTTGGGTAATGTACTAACTATATATACATATATATGGTGATAAAAAGAATTTTTTATGTGTATCCACCAAGTTCTCTATTATTTACGCGTAGTTTTATATTTTTTCCCCCGACAACGCGGAGAAAGGAAAGAAAAAATATTGTTGCTTTTACATTTTTCTTTACCATTATTTTATGTTGCAAAATGACAACTACAACATTGTAATCACCAAATCCTACTGTCTGTCGTAATCTATTGTAAAAGACAGCTCTCTAGCATTGCCACATTCGCGATGCAAAATTTACCAATCCTTTCATAAAAATCGTTTTGTAAAAACACGCATGAGAATAGTAAACCATAATTTTGTTTTGAAAAAAAAGCAACATTTCATCATTTTACTAAAATTCATGAAAATTATGGAAAATTATTACGATGAAGAATATAACTAATTTAGTAATGAAAATTTTTATTTTGTTCATGCGACATATAAGTGACGAAATAATTATCATATATATATATATATAAAATGAACATTTACGATCATTTGTAATTAATCTCCCATACAAAAACATATCAGATATAAATATATCAAATATATCAGCGTTCAAAAGTATAGAATCAATAGCCAAAATCGAATAAAAGACTGATTATTTTCTCCGAAAATGAAACAGACCGTATGACATACATTTCAGTTTTATGAAAGCGATTTGTTTTACGATTTTAGAGACGATTTTATATCCGTTCTTTTCCTACCCTTATTTTTTAGACCACAAAAACATTTCACTTATAATGACACGTTATCTAGATAAAATATATTATGTAAGTATTCTCGATTTAATTTCTTACGTAACGATCTAGAAACTTGTTTACTTTTTAACGTACATCTCGTACGTAAAAAAGAGCTACGTATAATTCTTCGCTGTCCATGACCCAACAAGTTACAACTTATTTAGAGTACTTTAATAATAAATTACTTTGTGTAATTTTACTTCAAGGGAAACTTCATTTAATTCCTTAATGCCGCTTTGTGCAAAAGCCGGAAGCTACACGTACACAGCGTTTCGACTCGCTGGAGGAAATTCGCGGTGCAGTATCTGCACAATCTCACCTCGGCGCAGTTTGTTTATGCACAGGCTATTAGGCCAGACCGCGCCCAACGACTATTAGCGGCCACCGCGAGGAATTAATTAATCCTTTCATTAAAGCCGCTGCGGAAGACCACACGGATGCCGACTGCCTGATCGTGATCGCAATGTCACACGGAGAATCGGGTTTATTGTATTCGAGCGACGGTCTGTATCCAGTCGAAACACTGTGGACTCCCTTCACGGGCAATCGATGCACCAGCTTGGCCGGGAAACCAAAGTTGTTCTTCATTCAGGTATGCCTATCTGACAGACGTGCGCCACGTACAGAAATCGCGATCGGATAAATCGTTACGAGTCGAACGCTGTCCGCGTGTTCGGCGAACACAATAAACGAGACCGCGCTCAGAGAGGCGAAGCCACTTTCCACATTTCGTTCACCGCGGACGATCACCCCAACGTGATGGATCATCCCAAGTGAACCGTCTAAGCGGTGTTACATGCTGAGTAATTCGCAAGAGATTTATATGGATCATGTGAAGTGATTTATGGGTTAATATAAGCTATTGTATTGGCCTGATGTTGAAGTTAATTGTGCCTTCTAGATAGATACGCGGTTCTCGTACTTGAATACCTTTTCTTTTGCTAATTTGCCTTTGACAATATGACTCACGTCACGTATGTATATCCAAACCTTCCTTTATTCTTACAGATACTTTCATTATAATCCAGCCCTTTTTTATATCACTCGAATTTTTAAATGTGCTGTGAAATATTTTCAGATTTCGACACATCTAAATTACCTTTGGATAATTTATCTGCGATAATGCGAGAAATGTAAATTGCGTAGAACCATTTTTATGATTTTTACATTGTCCATATTTGCGTTTTGCAGAAATCTGATTGTATTTTAATGGTGTTAGAAGAATGAACGAAACATGAGAATGAAAAAAAAAAAAGATTATTACATTTTCCGATTGGTTTTGATATTCTTGCACGTTGTTATAAATTTAGTTAAATGCGATTGCATATCCCGTGCGTTTGTAACGTAACGTAACGTAACGGCAAGAGCGATACCCGTGTCGGTTATCCTGATCGGAAAATTGAAAAAAAATCATTATATTATTTTATCAAATTTGACGTACAAAGTCCCAGAACTGGTCGCTACTCGTTTTATCCTATTATCCTATTTTATTCCAGCTTAATTCTATTCCATATACAATTTAAATCGTATATCTTAATTGAAAATATTAATTGTCGAAATTATATTTAATAATTTCTCTCGATTTGATTGATTCAGAGGCGAGAAAAATATTTCGATAATTTTTATTTGATATGTTTTTTCGTTTTCCGACTCAACGAGCGGGTTATAATATCTCTTATCGATATCTCCATTATCCGCGTATTTTTCGTTAAAACTGCGAAGTTTTCTTCTGAATATTAATAACGCTCCCATATTAATAACGTTCTAACGGATGAGAATAGATGACGTTGAAACTGATGATACCGAAACGGATGGCCGAGAATTATAAAGAGAAGGAGTAAATATTGACTGTAAATAGAACTTTCACTTCCTCGCGCCGTCACGAGAACGGCATAATTGTGACGATCGTCAAAAGCGCGCTTCGAAAACGATCAGGTTGACGCAACCGCGTATAATTCCGACAACAATGCCACTGCTAGATCTAATTCTTTCCCCGAGCATAATCCTACCGAGATCGTTTTCCATTTAGAGACACTTCCCCATTTATCTGCCTCACGACGATCTCCGAGGGATTTGCGGGCTCGCGCACATTAGTGCACCGTCGGATTTTTAGCGGGCGCAGCCAATGAAATATGTGCATTCTGCGATGTAATGGAAACTGTTCGCGCGCTAGAACGCCGCAGTAATTAAGATTACTCCCCGTCCATCCTCGCCGGAGAAAGAGAACGCCGGCAAAAACTGTTATTTGCATAATTCCCAAAGTAATGTGCGCGCGTGCATCGTTTCGGGGATTTCGCCACCGGCCGAATTAAAAAGTAGCCGAGCGGGGCTGGCTATTCGTGTCGTACAATATTCTATACATTTGCGTTTTTCCTCCTCTTCTTTCTCTTTACACTCCCTTTTTGTTCTCCTTTTTTTTTCATCCGCGAATATTTCCGTCATGCTCGCTTTTCGCACCGCTCGACGTGCAAATGTTTGGTCGGTCGAATATTTTAAACGATGCAGAAACTTGGAAACGCGCATTCTTTTATGTATGTTATTATCGCTCTTATATTCGCGCGTGACACTTATTATACGCGCGTATGTATTCAAGTAACACGGAAAAGAAGATAGTACAAGAAGTAGCACAATTTCATGACACGAACTCTAATTTTGTGCACATGTACGACGAGACAATTTATGAACGATTAGCACGTTTACAATTATTAATGATAAAGTGAGGACAGAATTATTCATGTAAGATGATATAATTTTCAATCTAATATTCAATTTCATTCAAACTACGAACGCAAACGAAATATTTTATGAAAGCGGAAAAATCAGAGAGAAAATTGCGGAAAAAAGTCCGATGTCAAAATTGAGTGAAATTAACAGTTTAATAGTCATATAAATAAATTTATTTATATGTTTATAATTTTTGATCTAATGTTTAATTACCTTCAAAATAAACGTAAACAAAATATTTTGCTTCATGAAATGTCAGAGAAAAACGGAAAATTAGTTCTAGTTCCGATGTTAAAATTGAAACAAAGTAAAATTAACGGTATTTAATAACATAATCATATAAAGATTTATTTATATGCTTATAGATTTTATTTTCTTTTTTTTTTGTTAAAAATCACTGATTAATATGCCAACCGCAGGACAATTGCAGAGATAGCGCGGGGGACAATCCATCAAGAACAACTATTCCGACAATGATTGTAATTTACTACGAAAGAAAAGGAAGACCGGAAAACCGAGTTGCCGGATACCTTTCGAAATTACGGCTTTCGTCTCAAATAGAGTTAGAGGATCGATGATCCCAAAGATAAAGCGTGACGGGGATAAATGAGCACGATAAAGTTAGCGCTGGTAACGATCGAAATGATTAATAATTTGGTGTCGTGTCTCGAACGCGTGCGCGCATTCGAAAGTCTGAAACGTAATAATTCTTTCGAGATTCTCGCAAGATACAATTATCTATCATAGAATTATGCCAAAATCTCGAACTTACTCAAAAGTAACTTCAGACATGCGTTTTCTCGCAACATATATAAATATGCAACTAATTCGTTTCATAAGTAATTGATTAATAATTATCAATTAATAATTTGCCTGATATCGATTTGAAAGTTTTACAACGTGATTATAAATTATAGTATAGAAATTATAAGCGAGTGAGATTATCGTAAATTGCATAAATGTACAAACTCAGGTTGCGCTATCTATCGAAATTAACGCTATTTTCTGTACGCTTGAAAGCTGTGTGCAGCCTCAAGTAAGTAACCTCCATATTTCTTGCTGCGCTTCCGTTCGAGCCGCTCGTCTTTCGTTAACGATGCTGTAAATGTCGATACATCTGCGTGTAATTGTGCCTGTACGTTTCTGTACGTACTAGTTTACTGTTTCAAAGAAAAGCAATAGCAGCACGACTCTTGGCCATAAACATTTAACTCTTTAATATATCAAAACCTTCTCGCCATTTTTATTGCAAAGTAAGGTATAATTTTAAGGGATTAATTTTTTAACTGTTATCAGAGAAAAGATTCGCTAATTATAAAAACCACTTCTTATCAATTTTTCTGAAAATTTTCATTGACATTAAAAAAGTCCATTATTATCAAAATAGTAATGCGTGTAACAATAAATTAAGTCTAAAAATCGTAAATTAATTAAATGAATCTTCACAGAAGATGGATATAATAATTTTAATTAATTTAACGTTGCAAATGTTATGCATAAATATTAGAAAAACCGATGCACTCCCGATCAAACAGCACAATATGATTTGTCCGCATTAGAAGAATCGTCCAAATAAAAGTTAATTAATTGCTTTATTATATGATGATTGAGAGTGATGCAAACCTAATTCAAAAGTCGAAACATTCTGGAAAATGATAATCTAACGATTTATTACATCTTGATATTTTATTAGTTGATAATATTACGACTATATGTATGTAGATTGAATATCACTACCAGTGAGAACTGAATGTTTTATAATATCTGCATCATTGCAATTCTTTTTCATGTTTATGTAAGTTCATGTTTATGTAATTGAATAGTCGATAACGACTCATGCTGCATATCGATTTTTCTGCGTTAACCACAACGAGAATATAGGACGCGTGGGACACAAAAGTAGGTTATTCTCTCAGTTATATACATATATATAGTCAACATTTTAAAGGAGTGCATTAACATAGCTTTCGGAACTATATTAATTCGGAACTATATTATTATTATTATTATTGTTTATTAATTGTGTGGTCGAGCATGAGATAATGTACGTCACTCATTCCATATTTTAATAATCTCATCGGATCGGATTATGACGCCACATTCAAACATATTAAACAATTCGCAGGACGTTTGCATTTTTGCGCGGAGGAAAACTCCTACTGTATCTCATGCATGTTTTACATGCCGGAAAAATCTAGTATCGTCGCTCACGTGCGCATTTTTCTTTTCCGCAGGCATGTCGCGGAGATGAACTGGACAAAGGAGTGAAGATTTCTCTTCATGAAACGGATAGCATGTCGAGTAATACATACAGTATTCCCATCTATGCAGATATCATGATCGCATATGCTACTTATGACGGTACGTACGGGCGTATACGTAAGTACACGAAGCTAACAGAGTTATTGCTCATCTAATTCACAGATAAAAATTTATTGCATAATTCTTGAAACCAATTCTTGAACCAAAGTTCTCATACCGTATATAAGCGATGTTAATTTATTAAAATATAAAATTTCCAAAAATGTGAAGAACATATCCAAGAATATACACGAGTATACACGAATTATTTAGAGCCATATATAAACGTTTGTAAAAAAAGAGTTTAAAAATAAATTGTACCAAATAAGTTGGGCACAAAATGTTTATTCTATTTAATTTTTTTAATTTTTAATTTTTAATTTTTAATTTTTTAAGTATTTAATTTTTAGGTAAAAGAATTAATTCTGTCGAAATTAAAATTTCTACAATAACACTCACTTGTTTCTATTTACCATGCATGAAGTATAAGTAATAAAAAAATGTATTAACAAAATTATTTATATAATTCAATTTTACTATTCATAATTCATAAAATTTATTTTTATATCTACGAAAAATATGTTAAATATTTTTCTATAATTATTTCTATATTATATATTTTTTAATATTTTTAATTGGTTTTGTTTCACATTTGTATAAATCAATGAGAGAGGATGGGAATATCATTAATTCCGTGAGTCACTTTATATGTAACGTACAGGTACATTGTTGCTATCTCGCACAAATGCGCGCGTAAGCCCCATTTCGAAACGGCCCGTCCCAAGGTAATGCAGGGAATCTGAACGAAAGCAGTGCTTCAGGACGGTATGACGAAGAGTTATATAGGAATGTCGTGCGCGGATAATCCAGTCGTGAACTGTATATTTTCCGACATGCTTCCCTATTTAATTTGTCGAAGTAAGCGTTACCCGATATCTATTTGAAACTTTAATGACGTAACGGAGACTTATAATTAGGCGGATGAGATTATTATACTTTGTAAGCGATACGAACTATTTATGCGAGTTATTTACAACAGATTATATACCAAAGAATTTATCGGAGTAGATTTCAATAAATGAAAAAGCAGATAAGAAATAAAATATTAAAATAATATATTAATATTAAATAAAATATTTAAAAACTATAAATAAAAATATAAATACATAATAATATTAATATAATTAATTATGTATTTAGAACAATGTTTGTGATGTTATAAAATCATAGAAAATTTGAATAAAGTCTACATTCTTTTTTTGAAAGGCACAAATAGTAATAATAGAGTAATAATAGAGTAAATTACTATTAATACAACAAATCAATCAATGAAAGAAAGCCTTTTTTCATCATTATATTGATCGTTATTATAATTATGATAAAAAATGTGTTACATGATATAAGCGTACGGTTTTTTATGCTGCTATATATTCTGACTAATCGGAAGTTCAATGCGGTTAAAAAAATAATGATGCTTACCGCTTGAATGAAGGTATGCAAATAACGAATGGTCCCGTATACTCGCTAATGAGGATGTTTACTCAAATTTCAAGCCTTTAGGTAACCATCATTAGTACACGTAACGCGAATATATATTGGAAGCATTTGCAAAGATACATGATAAATTGGGCCGCCAAACTCATACGTGTAAGATAAAATTGTGTAGTCTGTCAAGTTGGACATAAAAGCCAACAAAGTATTTTCCGATGAAATTCTTCTTGCCTTGAAAATCAATGAACATCGTCAGAAAATGTTGTTTTTCTGATGTTATTTAAAAAAAAATGTAGAAAAGGCTCTGTAACATTAATGTTGATACGAACTTATACTTGGATGTTTAAAGCAAAATTTTGAAAAATTATAAAATGACAACTTAATTTATTAAAAAGAAATCAAATCACACTCTTATCTTATATAAAAATTTATTCTTAAATTTGACGCGGTACTGAGATATTTTTTGCACATTTGTTACGTGTCATTCTCTCGTATCCTCATTTCTTAGTGCGTTTTGTATTCGCTGCGACGTCTCACCGAAGCGACCGGACGACGCTCAAATTCCTGACGATAATTGCACTGAAATACGTTTTAGTGCCAGTTTTCGTACTTCGTGGAGCGGAAGACATTAAGCATTAACGAAATATATATATATATATATATATGATTACTAAACAATAAACGGATATATAGCGAATTAAGCTTCTTCTTCTGGCACACGACCGAGATTCTATAGCGTCATAAGCTGCTTATTTTGAATAATGCAGGCTTTGCGAACGGTACGCGCATGCTATATAGGTAATCTACATCAATTCCTCGATTACACCTCGCCTCCTACAACGCTTCTCCACTTCCGTGTCGGCCGAAACTCGTTAATGAATGTAAACCAATATTATTTGCAACTCAATACCTCCGATACGAGCCAGCCGCTCTTTGAAATTCCCAATTATTGTACCGATCATTGTGTGTTTGATTGCTTCGCACTATTTATAATTCCTCGCATGATTCGACGTACATACAAATTCACCGGAAGTCTCCGCTCCATCGAGAAAGAGCTTACGTGAAATTTCAATAGAATTTCGAGGTACCGCCGCATTTTCAGGATTATAATCACCCGACGCATTTTCGAATTTAATCTGATTGAAAATCGTTGAAAATCGTTGAAAAACGTGACTAAAAGCAAATTCGTTGCACGAACATCAACGGCAGTACTTGCGTAAAACGACGACGCGTACATTTTCGCGCGATTTCCGCTTGCGTGCAAACATTTGACTTGCTGTTGCTAATGGAGTGCGAGAATTTGTGTTGACAGTGGTGCACACCGACGCGATACAACACCACGATGTCTAGTGAGAACGTCAATCAGTCAACTGATAAATCGATACACGCGCGCTCGTAACACTGTCTCGAATCGAACTGCATCTAGCATACAAGCTAAATACGATTACAATAGCTCGATATATCATATGAATACAATATACGGTATATACAATACATTCGAATGTGTAACACTGCCCGCTTCGCCGATATCCCGTGAATTCCATTTATGAAAGTTTTATCGGACAACCACAAACTTCTCCAAAGCCTTCAGTGATTTTATAAATAATTTTCAAACTAAATTTTTGTTATTTTAATTAAAGGAATTATACAATTCTAAATGCATTGTATTTAACTAAAATTTTTTTAAAGATTATGATTATAACATGCGATATTAAAATATTATAGAGCAAAACGGTGATTTTTCTTCTTGGTCTATTTTTTATATTTCTACCGAAAGATTCTATAAATTCGAGAAACATGAATCTGAGTAAAACAAATTCTTATTATATTCAAAATAATAAATTTTCGCAGTAATTGTCTCCGCAAAATCAGTTATGCTATAAAAAAATATGTAATAATTGTGTAATGTACTGTGTGTCTTCCTTCCCCTCAATAAATCAAAATAAATTATGAATTGTAAATCGCAAGAACATTTATCACATACATATATTTCAACACAAAAAGCAGTATAAAAAATATTTTATACAGCATTTTCGTGTGAAAAATATTTCAATTTAATTTTATTGTAAATTAACTCAATATTGTTAATTCAATAATTATCACTACGAAAACATATTGATGTTAAAAAAAAATGATAATTTTTAAGATATTAATATAAAATAAATATCAACATTTTTGGAGATCAGGATATTCCAGACGTTTCATGATTCCAGTTGGATATGATCCAAGCTCATCCAAACGGCTATTTTGAAGCCATTCGGTCCGTTCGTGGCTAAGTTTCATATCATGATATATTTTTTCGCTCTCCTTTCATCGCCTTTCGCAGATTGATATAGAAACACGTTTCTTTTTTTCAATTTTATATTTTTTTCATGTAACCATTGGTCGACGGATAAAAAAACGGATTGCTTGTTTTAAATCCTTTAGCCAATTCTCGAGTCAGCTGCCGTGATTATTCGTCAAAAGAAATATGCAATATAAGCTATTATGCATTTCTAGATAGCATTTCTAAATAGAAATAATTTCTCTTTTAATTTTATAAAATAATTTTATATATTTATGAAATTGATTTAATTTGGCATTTAGTATATCAATATCAAATTAACATACTTTAATTTTAAAAAGTTGTGCTTTTTATTAATTATTCTAGTAATAATTGTTATTAATAGTTTGTTTCATACCATGAAATATTTGTACTAAACGTTTTTGTATTATATAACTTTTTAGATAAAGTATAATCTAAGCGAGTCTTTCAGAAAAGAATTATTTAGTTACCTTCTTTAATAAATATAAAAATATAAAATTATCTATGAAAGAGAAAAAGAACGGTGATAATATACGTGAGATAATAAGAATAATCAGCAAAATATTAATTATGAGAAATCAGGGGATAATTACAACACCGAATTAAACATAATACCAGTATTTCTCTCGATTAAAATTTATAATTATTATTTTAGAAATATTTATATAAATAAGTAATAAATTTACAATTATAACTATGCTTTAATGATTTTATAATTATTTAAATTTTATTGTTCAAATATATAATTATATAATGTTACGCGTCTAATTGACATAATTATCCTGTTATTGCAAATGCGATTATTTACACGTGATTATTAATAATAGCTACCATAAAAATATACAAAATTTGATTGTATACATAAATTTCATAAAGTGTCACAGTTTACAAATGTTATAGTAAAACACAGTAAAAATTTAAAGACACACTAAGCTAGAAGCTCCTGTTGGCAATAAGATTTTGCATACTCTACATAGAAATTCGTAGAAACGTCTTAATAAAAAGTTTAATAAAAAGTATATTAAGGAAAGTACATTAGACTGCCATTGTTTAAAGTCATTCTTATGATGAATTTCATTCTGATACTTTAAATTTACATTATTTTCTTTTTTAAATTGAAGAATGTGTTAATTCGCTAAGAAAAACGTTCCTTTATATTTTAATGTAGCAAAGTTTGAGATAATTAAGCTCTAAGCGCAATTTCGGACGAAACTGTGCGATGACTAAAACTTTACAAAATCTGACGCAAACGCACCGGCAGGCAATATGCGTGGGAATATCGCAGAAGCTTCCGAAAGAAATATTGCAAATTCTTGACTGAGATTCGCCTAAATTCAGAAATCGAATAGCGCGAACTTTGTTACGATCGCAGTTTCGGTGATTTATTGTGAGCAGCAGCGCGACAATTCGCGAAAAACGGGAGAACCAGAAATAAAAAAAAAAAGAAACAGCAAAACTCGGCAACCAACAAAACGTGTCGGTAGATGGCCGGACGAGAGTTTCGCATAGCAGCGAAGCATACCACGCAGTATCAATCCTGTGGGATTGGATTAATGAAAAATACCTGTCGATTGTCAGCGAGATAACTCAGATAATCAGAAATTGCGTCCGTCGAAATTAGACACATCGATACCAAAACACTCGTAGCTTGTTATGGAAATGAGCTACTTGCACAAATCGATTACAATTAAATTTCTCGTATGACAATTCTCTTTGTAAATGTATCACGTATACGCGCTACGTAAGTGTAACGCGTAATACATGCTGAAACGAAATTTAAAGAGGGCACGTTTATCTTCGCACCAAATTTAATAAAAATATTCGAAAAGTGTCACTTATCCGTTAAGATTATCCGCTTTGGAAATTGGATTTAGTATGGACAAGAGCAGCTTATTTTTGGAAATACGCAAATTTACTCGGCTGCTTGCACACTTTGCGCACGTCTACTTTGCACATCTATCGATTAAGGAGGGTAAACAGAATTTATGTAATGCGGGTATATTCTCTCTACGGAATGATGTTTGCGAATATACTCTGTCCGTCGTATTAAGCGAGCCCGATAAACAGTACTTGTACAGTACTTGTTATAATAGAAACAGAATATATACACTCAGAGATCCACATCGCTCTCCGTGAAACCGTAATAACTTTTTTGTACGCGTGTCGTGATCGCACGTGCTCAGTTGATATTAGCGTATTAATATCCGCAAATTAAATACGAGTCAATTAAAATGTAGCGCTGGTAAAATCCCAATAATATCCCAACGTATTTATGAATTTCACAATGATTATTGACGATTATTATGAGCGTGCACTGGTTGCATAGTAATTTATTTCAGAATATCTTGAAAATTATTTCCGACAGTAATCTTTGCGACAGTAAACGAAAAAATTTTCAAATTTGTCTCGGAGAATGTCAATTTCACATAATGTATATGACAATAACCAGCAGTTAAGATAATAGTTGCGCGGTATAATAAACGTGGCACGCGGGTGGTCACGCTATTAATATACCAAGAAAGAAGATTACTAGTTAAATGCTTGTGCGCGCGCGCGCGCGCGTGTGTGTGTGTGTGTGTGTGTGTGTGTGTGTCGTCTACATATGCAGTAGGAAATGGACGTATTGTTAATAATGTAGGTGCTGCTGAATTCGCGGATAACACCTGGCTCGATGCTAAAGGCGTCATTAATATGCCACGTAGGAGATAAGCGTGTAGTTAACATACCGATGGTGATAGCGAACGTGCATTTAACACTTCGCTATGGGGGTGGAACGTATGGTTAATATATCATCGAGCACGTCCACGTCCGGTTAACACCAAGGTGTTCACACATATCTCATGTGTTATTGTTAGTACTTACCGCATATTGTGTGTGCCCGATTCTCTCCAACAATTAAAATAAAGTAAATGATTATAAAGTGTAAATTATTGCGATAAATCACCCCATTAAATAATACTAATAATTAACATTGAAATGAAAACTCAATCCTGGGGCTTTATACAAAAAAAATATGAGGATTTTCCTTAAAAACTTTTCAATATTTAACATGAGACATTTTCGGAAATTAAACCGGAAATTAAAATTTTTAAAAGGAAAATAAAAAATGATATTTTATTATCCCTGTAATTGTATTTATAAAGATTAAAAGATTTTCAATCGTTTATATTTTAATTTACTATTCGATTTTTGTAAAAAAATTGTATCATTATAATTGTATGTATGTAGTTGTAAGCTTCCTACGGAAAATAGCTGCGATGCGAATCTGGCGCACGCTGTATACGGCATTTAAGGAGAACACGTTGTCAGAATATATCAAGAAATCGATTTCTCTTACATATTCTTGAATGGTAAGTAGATGCAAATGCAGTTTTTGCCTATTCTAACAACGTGTTCCTGTAATACGTTTCAATTCTACAATGCAATCTTTCGTACGCAATGAATTTCATATCGATACTGTTACTCGTAAACGTCCAATTACTAAGATTTATTAATGGACATATGAATCGCTTTCCTATCATGTAACTTCAAAGTATCTTTGAATAATTGACAGTGGAGTATATGTAATATCTTTTTGTGAAAAATATCGGATAAATTGACTGATTTGAAATTAAATTCAGTTCGTTTTATTGACAGAAATTAAAATTCATTAAAATCAACAGAATGACGAAATAAGAAGCGGAATAATTAATCAGTTTTCAAAGTAGCAAGACCTATAGGGCATGTAAAGTAATCCCAGACTAGAGAATCGCGAATGTTGCAATCCTACTTGTAATATAGAGTAGAAGACATCTCAAGCATTAATGTTAATCAGTACTTATGCAAGTGAGCCTAAACTCAGACTAAGAAAATAAATGATCAGAAATTATTTATAATAATTAACTTCATCTTACATTTATTTCATTTAATTGCACTAAAATCTTGAAATCTGTAATTCTATTCTGCTTCTAATTCTACATTGTTATTGAATATTAAAAATCTCGCATATATTTGTTCGCATTTTTTTAATTAAAGTCAAATACTTGTATAAGAAATAGAATACGATATAATTTTTCAAAAATAAATTTAATGCCCTTTTTAATTATTTTTCTACAAATACTAAATGAATATTCTTAATAAAGATGTGACCTTGTTGCTATTCCTAATCCCATGTTACTTCGCGTGTCCATGTTAGCCCATTAAGTGAGGTCTAAGACTCGATGTTACCTAAATGTAGATTGCACACGACTTTCCTAAGAAGTTTAAGTGCTATAGCAGAGTAACACCGAACTTTGTAATTTCAGATTAAAATATATCTGTTCCGCGCAACACAATTAGCAAGGAGTACGCGGTTGCTCATACATGCGCGGAAAGTTGAGATTAATTTAAACTTATTGCTCTGGAAAAACTGGAACTTTTTATTACGGACTGGGTTATCTCGAAGTCATAACAAATCTGTCAATTCAACGATATGACCTATCTTTATCAAATCAAATATATAAGCTTCCAAACATTCATTTTAATTTCATTTTATTATTAAAAAGCAAGCATTAGTAAGACATATAATAATTATTATAGTCTACCTATATGTACATTATCTAGGTCATAATATTCTCGAAGATATCACTCTTTTTCACTAAAGAGATTTAAAAAAAAATCATATTTTGATATTTCAGCACGTCAAAAAACCAAGTGCTCGATAACTGTAGTGTGTACCGTAGTCAACGTATACTCGATACATACATTATCTCGAGGGCTTTAAATTTCTACCCCGTCTCACATTGCAACCTTTTCCGCTATCACAGGTCATGGGTCATTCGCTGATGCATTCACTATCCCGATAGCGTCGCATGCGTCTCGCGAACGCCTGCGCGAAGTGTATCTCATTACATATCGGAAAAGCGAATCAATCCACTAACTGAACTATCAGTCTGAACTATCAGTAAACCGCGTGTTACGACTTGCAGGTTTTTATTCGTGGCGCAATTCGGAGAGGGGCTCCTGGTTCATACAGGCGCTCTGCGAGGAACTGAACCTCCACGGACACAAGCGCGATCTACTCAGCCTAATGACCTTTGTTAATCGCCGCGTCGCCATCGAGTATCAATCCTACGTACCAGAAAACGCGACATGGCACGCAAAAAAGCAGATCCCTTCGATTGTGTCGATGCTGACCCGCCTTGTGTACTTCCCCGACAAACGTTCGGCACCGGACAATATCGATGATAGATCGGAGGAAAAGAAAACTGAAAAACCAACATAAGAGTGGTAAAACACTCGTTTTCTCGAACGAACATGATGGATTCTCCGATAAAAATCGACAGATTGATTCCAATCGAGTTGTTTGGATGCATTGAAGCTTCTTGAAAAGTGATTATTGATTGAAATGCGCTCGGACTTCGCTATATGAAGAATTTTTAAGAATATGGAGTATAAAAAAGAGAGAAAGAAAGAAATTTAAGAAAAAAATTTATTATTTACACCAAGATAAAAATTTGTTGTTGTTATGTTTAATAGGAAAGGGATAAATATTTTAAAATATTTTAAATATCTATATGAAATTAAAAATTTAATAAAAAATCCTTTTATTTAAAATTATTTAATATACATATATATTATATAAGATTAAATTTTGTTACACTTCTACTTAAATGAGATTTGTATTTTATTAGAATATTTCATTTATTCTGTTGTAATTGCTATTAAATTGAAACCAAAAAAGAAAAAATAATAGCTTAATAAATTAATACCTAAATAGCGTTTATATCCCTCTGTCCATTTTCATGTGTATTTACATATGAATTCATAACTGTATGAATAACAAATTATAAAATATCACAGAATGTGCGCTTGATAACGCTGGGCGAAGTAAAATAAATCGTCAGGATGCATTAAGCAACACATCGCGAATTATTATATTATAATTAGGTTCACTATATTATTCTTAATTAGTATGCTAATATAGATTTTCATAATGCATTAAAGGCTGTGGTCATAATGGTCAAGAATAATAATGACTAATTTTTGTCGTTATATGATTCGTCTCAACATATCGTAATATTTCTAATGAGTAAAACAATTAGAATTAAGAAAATTCCATTTATGAATGGCCAATATCGTGATCCTTTTTTAAACAAAATTCAATTAGTATTTTAGCAATGGGCAATTTGATCTGCCTTAAGATTGTGCTTACTCACATTTTCTTATAATTAGCTACAGGGGAAAATACGTGATAAGAAAATTTGTTTAAGTCCGACCAGAGCCTGATGAACAGGAATAGTCGGGTGTTTGCTTGTGAGAAATCGGTGGGAACTAATTCTGTCCTCCTAATACATCCCCATGCCGTTGGTGAACCGACGGGGAAGATCCTCGGGACTATTAACCGCAATGCGTGCGACTGCAATGGCATGTTCAACGTCAGATTAGATACCTGCGGTCAAAGGAGTTAGACGCTATTAACCTTTGTCTTGGAAGACGCGAAGTGGAATCCACGAATTATGCCGTTAACCAGATGCTATCGCGAAATGTAATCTCCTCCGTGCCAAGGTAGATCGATCTGCGGCGATAATGCAGACAGCTTGTACTCTCGGTAGAAATCTCGGCACCGCTTAATCGTGTTGTTATATATCGTTACATGGCGTGGCAGAGCTGTGCGCCATAGACGCATTTGCTATACAAGCGGTAAATAAAAATAATACGAATATTAATGAAGTAAGTAGTTACACGCGACCAACCGTATATTTCGAATTTATTTATAAAATTGTAATATTTTCACGTTTTCCTGAATTTAATTTTTGGTCGAATATCCTGTATCACTTCTGGATGTAATAAAAAAAAAAGAGTTTGAAGTTAATATTAAAGATTAACGTTATGTCGGTTTACGTAATTCAAATTTGCATTTATTGTATTGGCTATAATGCAAAGAAATCATAAAATAAATCTTCTTTTATTTTAATTATTTTTCAATAAAACAGGGTTGAGCGTTATTGATTACTGTATGCCGTATACGAGGAAAAAAAGGAAAGAAAATTAATTCTCTTCTGCGGCAGAAGTAATATCACGTCCGTAAGTGAAAACTGCTAAATAACTGCGAGATATTATGAAAAATTACACTATTCTCAATGTAATATTTGCTCAAAGAAATTATTTTTTTAAAACAAAAATAATGCATAATCTTTTATTCACTCATTTACGTATTCTTTATCCGATTTCATTACATTTTTGAAATTCATTACACATTTATATTTTACATTTTTCTTCGATACGCGTTTTGTGTAAATTTAATTGATACAACGAAAAATTAAAAAAAATTGCACGAATTACTTTGTTATAATTATGTAATTGAAATACTTTCGACAAATTTAGTAAAATATAAAATCAGTATTTCGTCAATCAGTATTTAACAATTTAAAATTTTCTTTAAATAATTTGATAGAATATAATTTGATAGAATATGGATGGAATATTAATTTCTTTTAATGTATGACGCTAATAACAATACTAAACAATTCCTTTTGCATTTCCTAAAACGAAAAATATTTTAACGTGTCTCTCTCTTCCGACATGTAATCTATCGCGGAAATTATCGTTCGCAATCTGGAGCCTTCGTTCTAGGAGCAAATTCTAGGTGTGAACGTAAGAACTGTGAAGTGAAGCGCAGGCGGTAAGAAACCGATTCAATCACTGACGCGAAGAAAGGGTCCAGCTGTCGAAGAAATTCCTCAAGCCGTTTTGACTTTCTAACTGGCAATTTGAACGATTGCAAATCGATCCTATCTCCTCGCACTAGTTAAGTGGAACTCTCGAAAAGCGAACGTTCAAATCTGCGCAGATGGCTTGTCACGGAAACGCGATCAAAAGGGATTTTGGTTTGGGAAGCCCTTGTCTCTTTATCGAGGCTCGTAGAGTATATCACGTCAAGTAGAAACCACTTCGTTCGACGATCGTATCGTTGATCCGATCAATATGGATGTGCACAAGAGTTGCATTTTGCGCGCAATGTACAACTCTACGTGCAAACGGTCACGCTGTTTTTTTTATAATCCGAGCCGTTCGATATTTTACGGCTTATTCACTGCCAGGCAACACTAAGCTTTCTTTCACGTATATTGCATTCCAATCGCGTTCTTTCTCACTTCTTCGTAGCTGCGAAATGTTGTTTTTTTCCTCGTCATAAATATGCAAATAACGCGCGCCGACATATACCTTTTTTTTTTACACTCCCAGCTGCTATTTTATGATCTTAAAAAATCTGAAAATGTATTTTACAGAAAAGATACGTCAATATATTTATATATATTGTTCATGAGAATTTTGACATGATTATTAGAAATTTGAAGAGAAATTATTTTCAACTTGAATGCTTCATTTCGAAATATCGCAAAAAGATCTAAATAGATGAACGTACGAATTATCGAATTGCAAACGCGAAAAACCATTTCCTATTTCGCGCAAATAAAGAAAATCGAAACGCGAACTGCAGCGTGTGTTGTTGCGAGTGGTAGTATTTCATCTTCGAAGCAGTTTCGACTCGATGTAATAAATCAATCCTCTACAGGCGGCCATATCATCGATATATTTTATATACTGCACTAGGAAGATAAGTTACAAGATGTTGCGCCGTGTACTACACGTGCCTGCCGACGTCATAATTTTAGACTTTCGCAACGATAGCTAATCCGCCCCGTACACGGGGCGGAAAATCGAAACTGCGATCGTGAACTTCAGGTTCTTATGGTTAATCACCTCCTTCGCTGCGGCGCAGTCTGCAGCATATCCGGCGTAATTCCGACAAAATGAAAGCAACGTATCGAAATGCTGCACTCCGAGATGTATCGCGTCACGGCGGTAAACTAAGACGCCATTCGTCTTAATCTCATTTACAAACTCCGCGCGGATGCCGCCGGTGTTCGCGACGGGGTGCGCTAAATTCTGTCCCGTTCGCACTCGCGGGTATTACTATTTCGGTTTTGTTTCGATCGAGCTACGTAGAAACGATGCCACCACACTCGGTGAAATACGATGCAACGGGTAAGAGCAGCCGCTCTTAGGAGTCGTATTCGCGATCTCATCAACTTACGCATATATATATATATATATGCATGTATGCATGTATATGTATGTATGTATGTATGTATGTATGTATGTATGTATGTATGTATGTATGTATGTATATATGTATGTATATAAGCAGCCAGCAGCTCCTGTCGCCGTTAGAAGAAATTGCTCCAATTCCATTAAACTAGCGAAAGTAAAATATGTCCGAATAAAAGTACATGCACAAAAAAAAAATGGAGTCATTTTAAAACAGCGATTGATTCTCGTCAGGTTAAATTATCTCTTGGACGATGGCGAGATTCGAGAAATTATCGATAAAAATTCCCGAATAATAATAAATTTTGCGAGAGCAATAGAATTTCGGTTTTTGCGAAAGCTGCCATTGACTTAATCGCGTACAATCATTGGAAGAACGACGAAAACGATTCATTCACGTCACCGCAGGGCGAATTATGCTAATTTCTCACGTCCTCTCACGTCCATCGACGTTACGGATAGAGCAACTGTATATGGAATTCCGCCGCGCGAGATTGACCACCACGATGTTATTGACCGCCACTAATTCGCCTAGCGTCAACTCGCCACTAAAACACATCGCGGAAACGGTCGCAAAAGTGGCGGTCAATGGGTGGTGCATCAGGGTGAAAGGGGGGGGGGGGATGGAGGTCGACCATTTGCGGAGTTGTGCAAATTACTGCGAACGAGTGGGACACGTCTCCTCCATTCGACACCGGGATATAATCCGTTTTGAACCGCGAATGCCTTTCGGTACATCGCGATAGCGCGGATCGCTGGATGAGCGGGACCGGCTGGAAAGTTTTGACGCGATTTGCGACGTGTTATCGATCCGCCGTCGATAAACAACTCGGTCAGCACTTTCGCCACGTTCGTCGATCACGTAATCTTTTTGCCCGACCCTCTTTCGGCATGCGAGCCATAATTCCGAGCCGACGGGATATCCTTCGGGCGTCGTGTCGTTGTCAGCGCGTAAACGCGCCTGGCCGCTCTTTTTTTCCCTCTCTCTATTTTTTTTTTTTTTTGTTAACGCGGCATAGCACCAAGCGTCGAGATCGCCGCAACATTCGTGCGACAGAATGCTGAGAATCATCTCCCAATCGCGCACACCTATATCCTTTTTGATATCTATGCAAAATAAAACTTCGGTTTTCCGATACGCTTCATCTACTTTCATTTTTGCCATGTTTTACGGCGTATCGTTGATTACATCGCTCTTCAGCTGTAGCTCAAACGTCAAACGGCGAGTCGCGAGATGTAGTACGCTTCGGAAATATCTCTATAAAAGTGCTGAGAATGATCCCTCCCATCGTGCACACTCCTGTCAAAACCATGCATTTTATGCATTTTTATTTTCGTTATACTTCACGAC